GAAGCCATAACTAGTGAAGAACAGGGTTAAGCAGGTGGATGCATGCTGAGCATTGCTATAGGCAAATTCTGCCACAGCCAGCACCTCCGCCCAATAGTCCTGTTGGGTGTTGCTGTAACAGCGGAGGTACTGTTCCAAGATGGCGTTCATTCTCTCTGGGCCCCATCAGTTTCAAGATGATGGGCGAATGATAGACACACCTCTACCTGCAGTTCTGTGAGTAGGGTCTGCCAAAAGTGTGGTGTAAATTGCACCCCCGGTCAGATACTACTTGGTCTGGTAATCCATGCAGCCGAAACACATGGGCAATGAATAACTGGGCCATTGCCTGTGTGGTAGGGAGACCCACACACAAAACAAAGTGGGCCATCTTGGTGAGCATGTCCACCACCACCACGTTGGTGGTGGCACCCTTCAATGGAGGCAACTTGGTAATGAAGTCCAACGAGACCACCCACCACAGTTTTTCTGGTGTGGGTAGCGGCTGCAAGAGACCAGGGGGTGCACTGGTAGCATACTTGGCCTGTCAACAGATCCCGCATGAAGTCAGATATCCCGACATATCATGCCAGAGTCCTGGCCACCAAAATGTCCTGGAGATGAGGTGCAACCTTTTGAAGACCCTAAAGTGGCCTGCCGCCAGGCTGTCACAACACTGTTGTAGAATGAGGCCATGAAAGGGTTCTCCAGGCACGTAGATGCGATCTCAAAACTGCAACAGGTCCTCCATATACTCCTAAGGGGTCTCCTGTCTTCCATCATCATCCGGCTCCCGACAATGAGCTGCCATGAACAAATCCTGCCACTGCGCTTCCCAAATCCTAACCCAGAGGACCACGGGCTCCTCAGTGGCCATGAACCGCTCCAATGGAATCACCTTTCGAGGCAGCATGTTTTCCTCTCTTCAGGTATACTCGGGTGCCTGGGACAGTGCGTCAGTGCACTGACTCTGCCCGCTCGAAACATAGGTCACCCAAAAGTTGAATCGGGAAAAAAAAGCAACCATCGCACCTGGTGCTGGTTCAGCATCCGGGCTGTTCGTAAATGTTCCAGGTTGCGATGGTCCATCCGAACCTTGACCTGGTGGCAGGCCCTCTCCAAATGGTGCTGCCATGTCTTGAAGGCAACCTTATTCAGCAACAGATCCTTGTCCCATATGGTGTAATTTCGCTCCAGAGACAACAGCTTCCAGGAATAATAGGCACATGGGAACAAGGTGTCAGGCCTGCACTTATATACCTTTTAGAATTTTGGCCTGCCACACTTTCTCTTATTTAATTATGCTGTTTTTTTAAGTATAGTCAATGGGAGGGGAGATTAGAAGGAGTAGGATTTTGGAATGTGTTGTTTTTCATTCTTTGCTAGAAGCCAAGGTCATCCTTATGCTTTTTGTCTTTGTACCCCCTTTCCCGTGTTTTTGTAAGCCGCCCTGAGTCCCCTCAGGGAAAAGGGCGGCCTATAAATTATAATAAATNAGTCTCCGAATACTCTTCAAAGGCTGCCCCATGGATAGTATTATCATCGTCATCATTCTTAGACTAGTGGTTTAGTTTTCCTTTGCTCTAATATGAATGCCTTGAGGCACAAAGGCCCTTTTTTCTCAGTCCTTCCATTCATTCCATTTATGATTTATTTCCTTTAGGGATAGCTACAGCAAGTCCTGCCTATTCCCACTTGATTTTCATAGGGAGCCTCTGACATTGTGCCTATTGCTGGGATAGGGCTTTGAAGTGCTAACAGTTGTGCTAAGCAGCATAATTAGTGTAGCGTATCCCTATGTTCCAGGATAAGGACAAAAGGGAATGACCACTATCAATATGTACAAGTGGGAGAGAGGGAGGGCGAGATAAACAAAGTGAGATAAGAGATTCTAAAATCAAAATATTTTAATAAAAACTGTTTTGGACCAAAGTTTTGCTGCAACATTCCTAAGAAAACTGAATTGTGCTCAACCCAATAGGTTATTGGGATCTTCCCTGAGCAGCTCATTGTTCCAAAATGAATGCACAACTTACTTTGTAATGTGTTCTTCTCTTCAACTTCCTACCAAACTTGTTCCTGGCCCTCAGCATAATGAAACTGAAGTCAAACCAAGCACGTATTTGTGTGTGGGAGATAAGTCCCTCAATACATATCCTTCATAGATCAGATGATACATCAGTTTATACAGCAGAGGAAACTGGAAAAAAAACCCATACGCATCATTCATCTCTGAGGGCCAAGTTACATTTCACATTAAGTAAGACACTGATTTCCTCTCTCTCTTTTCTTTCAGTTGATGGCTACATACATGTACTAT